CAACCTGAACCAACCCTATTAACATCCTGCTAGGTTGTGGTCCTTACACAGTAGGGTGCAGATTGGGTCAACTCTGGTGACTGGCTTTTTGTTTGCTTACCTTATAGAATTAAGAGCTATTATGATTATTTACTGAACATAATCTGCTTCTTAGACCATCCATTCGTTGCTCGAAAAGAACGTCAAACATCGATGGATTGTAACATGCTCACTTCGGTTAGCCCCTTATCGCACTGCGGTATTGAGTTGCATAGTTGGCATCCCTTCTGGCAATGTTGAATCATACTTAAAAGACATATATGATATATTCATTGAGTTGCTTATATGTAACATTCTGACAACATCCGAATCGAAAGACTAATCATATGTAGCTGGTTATTTAGAAAGGATTCATTAGCCTATTTCCTACCTACATTGATTTTCAGGTGATCTTGTGTCAGGTTCATATTAATCCAGCCCATGGTTGATTTCTGCAATATTGATGTTGAATCCGTTCAAATTCTAGGTTGCTAACAATCATTTCATTGCACTTGGAGTTTGGTAAGTTCATAGACTTTCTTAGAGCATTGCAGATTGTGGACCTGTGTTTGCAGATTGTGGACCTGTGTTTGATTTTTACTGAGCCCTCAAATTATCTCTCTTCAATTCAACCAGAGCTCCCACCATAAATTGTGACTGGTTTTTCATGATTGATTGAATGTAGGCAAGGCAGCAACATAAGCAGTGAATTGATAATGATTGAATTACATATAGCATATCATATGCCCCCATCCTTGTTAGCCATGCCTTTGTTATTGCAGCTATGAGCCAATAAATGCATGGGCCAATTGGGTTCCCCTTATTTTTCGTTAGCTTTGATTGTTGTCTATAAGTTGTTAGGTCCAAACAATTGGCAGATGTGGGCAAAAATACGGGTAAAGCAATTCATTTGTGTTTTTTTTTTTGGTGGTCAACATTTGTGTTCCCCTTTATGGAAAAATTACAACATTCCTCTTGAAGTCCATTTAAGTCCTTTTCTGTAAAGGAACCACATAACTTAAGCCTTTAACAGAGTTATGTTTCCTTTACCTATTGAATCCTAGCCTCCTCCTGCTAGGTTGTGGTCCTATTAACACCCGTTGGGCCCAGATTGGTCTTTTTGTTGCAAGAAACTAATGTTATGAAGATATATAATTCGACAAGCCAACGGCTCACTACTAGCAATACCGACATTGTTCCAAATTTAATCACCTACAAAGTCCAGTAGTTGTGAAATTTTATCACAAAAGACATCGGTGTTATTAAAAATGGTGTCATATTTCATTTTGTCAAGTTTTCAATGTAAGGCTTTATATTCTTCAACAACTCTCTACTTTCGAAGCCTTACACCTCCTTGAACATAAGAATATGCGGATGTAGTAAATTGAAAATTCCAATTTACCATTCATGGCATGCAGCAACCAAATGTATATCTAGTGCAATCCATACACAGACGTGTTCTTATTGTTCAAAAAAGCATCTTGTGAAGTATGGATATTGGGAAAAAGGAAAAAGAAAAAAAGCAGACAAAATTAGGACTGTCCTTGAAAATCCAAGCCAGGGATTTCATTCGTTTCTTTCTTCCAAGTTAATATAAAACTACGTCACCAAGAATTACGAATGGCAGGCCAGGCCTTACAGCAGATATGACTTCTGTTCATTTCCTTTTTCCATCCACCATTCTGCTTTGGCCCCCAAACCCAAAGTCAAAACTAATTTTGTAGTTGCTTTTAATTTGTTCCTCTTGCTCTCTGAGTCTCTCTCTTGCGCACAGAGCATATTCATTTTTATATATTATTTCAGTGCAGTGATATTGACGATCATATATCAATTTTCTAATTCAACTTGACATATTTGAGTTCCGTGAAACGACATTCTCTTATTCCCCATCAAATAATCAAACTTAAAATGAGGGTGTCAGGTTTCGCACAAGTTATTACTTCAAAGAAAAAACACACACACACAACCAAGTATTTAAAAATTACCCAAAATTTTATAATATTCTCACGGAAGAGAAGCCTGGGTTCATATTTCATATATAGAGATCAAAGAGATTTGTGCTTCTGTAAATTGTGGGCAAAATCTATCCTAAATTCTAACCCAATTCTACCTTCCTTCATCGCTTAGGCTAATTAACCTTGAAGCCTATGGTTGTAATTTTGGTTCTAGTTGCAGTTAGGTTCAGTACAGAAATTTGAAATAAAGGATTTGGATTTAACAAGACTATAAAAACTAGCAAATATTACATTGAATATATTTGAAATAACTAGACGTAGTACACTTGATATGGATTTTATCAATATATACAATGGATTTAACTACTCGAAGGGGAGGTAGAGCAACGCGCGCGAGGGCAAATAAGGTAAACTGCATATTTGGACCTATGACTCGTCCTTTCGAAGAGAATGGCGTCACAAACTCATTGCTTTACTATGACTTATGGGTTTTTTTTTGGGCGTTTGACGTCATTTAATAGCCCAAAGAAGCATTTTAGTTTTTGAGCTAGTTTTTGGAATTTTTGTTATTTTAGTTTTTAATTTCTATTTGGATTCCTAGGGGTTTTAGGACTTGAGGCAGTATTTAAACCAAGTTTAGCTAAGGATGTCGGGTTGTTATCCTTATTATTATTCAATAAACTTTGAAGTTTTCTCAACTTCGATGGATTCCAGGCTTTGATTCTCTTAGGCTCATCATTTAATTGCCTTCCGTTTATCATGCTGCTTCATTAACTTTATATACATCCCAACCAAATGCACTCTAAAAAGCTTGAACTACCATATATTGACCAAATCTTGACAAAGTCATCGTAATATCATCCCAACATATTAATGTTTGATTGCGCTATACTCCACTAGCAAAAATATTTTGAACTTTTGAGCAAGATGTCTCTCGTCTGGCAAATCAAATTTAGGGAAATATTTTTTAACCGAAGATTTTTTGTCCATTTGTGTCCTCACTTGTGTTTGGGTGCTGGTGTTTATCTTTTACTTAGCACTCTTATTTTCAATGATTTACTTCTGGAGTTTACGATTACTCTACTTTTGGAGCTGTGATTTTTTTTTTAAAACCATGGTGTCGGTTAGCCAGCTATAGATATAAAAAAAACCAAGATCTGAGCTCATGAAAATGTGTCAAGTAGCCTACTTCGGGAATTTTGAAGTTACATAACTTGGAAAGGCTCAGAAAAGTTATTAAATTAAATCCTGCAAAAGCTGTCAAATGTGATTTATGGGGAGCTCTGTTTTAGGGCAACCCACAAAGGTCCAGCATGAAATCGAAAGAATAAGACATAACCTTGAAAGTTAATTGGCTTCTCTCTCCTTTTTTGACCTTTCTAATTGTCCTACCAAACATTCATCCATGCACGAATCTTCTCAAGGCTAACCTTTAAGAAGGTTTTGTAAGTAACAATTAGTGTAAAGTCATGCACAAACCTTAGAATTCATATTTTTATCAACTTCCCCACTAACAAATTTCAACTTTTGGGGTAAAATCCCATCCTATTTTGATCAAAGTCAAAATTTGAGGAGTGAAAACAACATTAGCTTGCACTTTGGATCGCCTTTTAATTTTTAAAATTTTTTCCTTTTGTACTGATGTGATATTATGACCAGCATTCAGAATAAAATCTTGTAAACTACATCCATTTTCTACCATTAATTCTTGAAAGTGATGGTCACCACCAAATAGAACAAACAAGAAAGACATATATTTTTTTTTTGTCTGACTTCCACCCTCACTCAAGCACCAATGTGATGTGAAGAAGCTAAAAAGGGAAGTGACTAAATGGCAAGTTAAAACAGATAGAGTTATGATTGGCCCCAAGAAAAAAAAACAAGTAGAGTATGAGCAAACATTATCTTTTATTAGTATATATAGATTTAGGTGACAAATTCTTTTCACTGCAGAATTTTCTGGAAACCAATTATCCATAATAGCATTACAACTAAAAGTAGATTTTTAGCTTTAACTGTAAAACTAGCAAACAACCCCCTTGCTTTTTGACATTGCTTAACAAATTGATTACAATATAGAACTAATTTACTACTGTCTAGACATTGGATATGACAGATCAACATCAGTTAATAATTGGAGATGTGTTTAACTTATCAGTTTGTTTTTTAGAACTCTGTTACGAGGCAGGTCAGAGAAAGTCTTTTACACTTGTATTAGTGAATCTAAATTTTTCATGTTGTGTAGAACTTACATGCATGCACGGCTGAAAATCATCCGCTACTACGCGATGAGTGGACAGACATTCCTCCTAGTAGTAAAACCTTACCTATATTTAAGACTATTCTTACTGTCCAATCTTAATAATTTAGGCCCTCTAAATGAATGGACAAGGAAAACTTAATAGAGATCCAAATTGCTGAGATATAAACAGTCTATCCAAATTGCATGGCTGTTGTTGTTGTTGGCTTTGTAGCACTCCTCCTGTGCCTCATGTGTTATTTTCTTGGTGTGTCAGTCAATGTCAGCAGCAGCTAGTTGTCATGACAGCTTCAGCACCCTCAAATAAAATTTGAAAGAACCCACTTTGATACGGAGCTAGTCGGAAGTCACATCGAATTATGTGCTACTTGATTATATCCACAGTTACAACCTGAAGGGGATTAACATCTAATTAATTAATTATTTAGTTAATTGTGATTATATTCCAATTATCTACTCCACTCCACTCCACTCTCCATGTTTCATTTTCATACTAGGGAATGCACTAAGTTAGCTTGGGAGTGTGCCACATCACCATCTTCAAGTGGACACATCACAAATACCCTTGGCAAAATACCAATGAAGCGCCAAGGCCACCTCAGAAGTCAAATTAAATAACACATACGAAAACAAAGGGTATTTATGTCATTTCACTAAAAGTGGATTCAACAACCCTTTGACCTTGTAAACGTACGTCTACAAAGACAACTACAAGTCAACATAATTTTAATTTGTTTGTTCGGTAGGACCTGCCATTCCATATTTCCATTTGCTTTCTTCCCCAATGCGTTCAAGCTCTTCTCTCAATGAACATTTTTTTTTTATAAAAAAAAACACACACACACAAGAACTCCTTGAAAACCCAGCAAGCTATATATTTCCTGAAATCCCTCTTGGGTTTCTCTCCCTTTGTTCTCTCTCTAGATTCTTCTCTGTCTTCTCTCAAATTTCACTTGCTGCTAATATACCAACTGCTGCAAAAGAGAAGCAAGCTATGGACAGACGCCGCAGAAAACAACCCAAGACCAGCACCTGTTGCTCTGAAGGCAAAGCATCCAATTCATTCTCTCTCTTTCTCTCTAAAATCTCCTTATGGGTTCTCCCTCTTTTCCTTTGTTCTTTAATGGGTTTTCTTCATTTTTTGCTGTCCTTTTTTGTTTTGTTTCTTTCTTGGACAAATGCCATCCTCTGTAAACTTACTTTTCCGGGTTTTTATCTTTTTAGAAAACAACCCAAAAAGATGCAAACTTTGGGTTAACTTCTTGGTTTCTTTTTTGTTTCAGTTGGGAGTTCATAACTAAAGTCTTTGTGTTCTCTGTTTCTCGCTGTTGCATGTGTTTTGCAGAGGTGAGCAGTATTGAGTGGGAGTTCATAAACATGTCTGAACAAGAAGAAGATCTCATTTGCAGAATGTACAAGCTCGTCGGAGACAGGTAACAAATAAAAACGTCAAATTCAAAAACACTGGATTTTTATTTTTTTGCTTTTCCATTTTAGGCAAACTATAAATGTTGCCTTTAAACTTGGGAAGCAGAGCAATAGAAATAAATAATTATTGTAATGTGGGCACGCCATAGCCAAGTACAAAGTTTCTTGAGTCACGGGTGACTCCTCCTCATGCATTTATGTAGTTCATGATCATGTGATCATATCTGATTGTGATGCCTGCCAGCCTTCACATTTAAGAATTTTTCAAAACATGCTCTAGTGGTAATGGAAAGTTTTTTAAAAAAAATAAAAATAAAAAGACCTAAAGAACTTTTGTTGTGGTTCCAAAATAGTCATCTTGCACACTTTCATACGTAAAAATTTATTTATGTTTTTAGACCGGAGAATGGCGGTATGGCTATTTTAGAGTGTCAATAACATGTCAAGCTCAAATAATCTTTCTTGTTGAATCTCTTCACATAGTTTTCTTTGTTATTTGAGAGAGAGGGGGGATACAAACTTGGTCCAACAAAGTGGAGAGAGAGAAGTAGCTAGACCAATTATTATACGTGAACATGATTTGTCCAGAAATGTTTGTGGTGTGCAAGAATCCTATGCAACCAAATAATGCATTTCTAATCTTAATCAGTGCAAAACATTGAAGTGGTTTTGGAAAATGGTTTTCTAACTAGACTTGTGTGTAGCTCAGGTGGGGTCTTATAGCTGGGAGGATTCCAGGCAGGAAAGCAGAAGAAATAGAGAGGTTCTGGTTAATGAGACATGGAGAAGTATTTGCAAGTAGAAGAAGAACAGAGCTTAAGAGTAATAATAAGAGATACAACTCCTGATGATGATTTCCCTTGTCAGTCGGAAATCCAGTAGGTTAGGCTAAACAAATTCAATTTCCCCTTAACTCCTATCCATGTGTTTATTTTTCCCTTTTAACTCCTACCTATGTGTGTCACAAGGTGAGGTAGTTGTAACTTACCTGTTTGGCTGAAGTTATTGAGACTTGCCTGCCTTCTCTCTCTCTCTCTCTCTCTCTCTCTCTCTCTCTCTCTCTCTCTGACAC